TGTATACTCATGAGTATCGGCATCTGTAGACCTGTCATTGTTTTATATTGTACAAATATCTTCATTGTGACTATTTCCCAAAAGAAACATTTTTGTGTTTAGGAGTTTCACCAGACATGTGTGTAACTGATCTGCTGGCAGTAGTGAGATTTTGTTTTAGAATGTTGTGACATAGCAGAAATAACTCCGATGTTCCCCCTTTTTGTAGCTTTGACGATATGAATTAGATTTCAAATAAAATCTGGACAGAAAATGAAGATGTGGTGTTCTTGCCCCACTGGTGGGACAGCTCTCCGAGGGGATGTTTGTTTGGCAGTGCTGTGTATTTCAGACACACTGTGGTGCTTGGATCTTCCAGTGAATGCAGTTTTGTTCCTGTTTTCACTGGTTGGACTATGCAGATGAAAGCACCTCATGAATCCAGGGGATGGGTTTTCTCTCCTGCCATGAGTTTGTACTCTGAGAGCAGCTGGACAGTCTGGGACTTACTCTGATAAGCTTTAGGAGGAACCTTTGCTTCCCCTGGCTCCATTTGAATTGCAGGGGATGTTTATAACCCCAGAGTAATGGGTTTGTTTGTTTTTCAGAAGGGGCCCTGCAGAGCCCCCTCCCATGGAAAGCAGCCCTGAGGCTCTCTGACTTCATAGGCATAGAGACAGTAATTGCAACCTGCAGGACACTCTTGTTTTCTAAAACTGATTTTTACTCCAAAAGGACAGCTTTTACATTCTTTTATTGGATTTATTCCTCTCCTGTGGAAATTCTTCAAAAGGGGAACAATCAATTTTTTTTTTACTACATTATTTATGAATATTTTGAATCAAGAAGCCGTTTAACTTTTTTTCCATTCAGGAGAAAGGCTTTCCCTTCTCCCAGCCTGTTGTGTGTGCTGGGCATGGCTGGGGCTCTGAATTGCTCCACCCTGGTGTCCTGCCATGTGGGTGGCAGAGGGGAAGGGTTCAGTGTTCAGATGTGGAGCTGTGGGGATATTGGAATAAAAACAAAATCTGTTTTAGAAAGATGCAGAGTTTATTTCTCATACTTTTCTTTCTCCTGTAGCATAAGGTGTTTCAGGTGTACAGGTTTTGGTAGCTAAACTACTAGAAACAGATTTTTTTCTTCTTTCCTAAATTCTGTGTATTTGCACCTGGCACAGACTAGAGGAGGCTTTCTGGAGCAAAATGTAGGTACTAAAATCAGTTGGGAACAGGGAGAATCCTGACTGCAATGGGAAGTCAATCACTTCAGATCCAATTAACTTCTTTATTACTTTCATCTTGTAGCTGTTTATAAGTGGAGGAGTGATAAATGTCAATGTTCTGGGTCAAGTGAGACTAAAGATGGTTTGCCACAGGAATATTTTATCTGCAGAATCAATTGTATATTTCATTTAATGGCTAAAAACCCTCAGGGTAGAAAATCACTTAGCATTTCAGGTACTTTTCAATAATTAATTTTTATTTCAGCTTTTATAAAACTCCCATCAGTGATTATAAAAGGCTTAAGCCAAGGAGCAGGAGAGCTGAAGGAGCACACCCACTGGACTTTATTTGGTAAGCACATTATGATGCAATACCTTTCTCAGTATCCATTTTATAAATACCATTCTCGTACCTCTTGTTCTTTGCTTCATGTCCTGGGCTCTGGAACAGCTGTTTGCTCACCTAATAGTGTCTTAAGAGTAATTAAGAATCTGGGATCCTTAACTGGATGCCTGGTTTTTGTGTCCTTTGCTTTTTATTTTTTTGTTTCTAGCTTGTCTTTTCCACAAAGAAGAGCATGAAGGGGGCAGCATCTGGTAACAAATATTTTGTAAAATATGCAAATTAATGTAGAAGACTTAAAATGGGGCTGCTTGTGCAGTTTATTTTTCTTTAGGTCCCGCTGCAGTGAGAAGGTACAGTCAGTGTGCCATTACTGTGTGACCTGGGTTTGTGCAGCCTTTTGGGGTGAAGTGGTGGACAGGGCAGTGGAAACACTGATCCTGGGGTTTGGGAAGCAGCATTCAGATGACTCCTTGTGAGATACAGTCCTGACCTGGGGAGGTGGGGTGCAGAATAAATAAATTATTAATAAATTATTAATAAATAAAAATTGAAAGCGTGGTTGTATTGCTGCAGATGGATTAGGGTCTGACCTCGGTATCTAGTTTTTAGATGGGTGGCTTGCTGCACTTTCGTACAGCTGTGTGAGGAGTTTGGGGAAGGACATTTACCACCTCTTGTGGGTCTGCACTGAACATTTCATGTAAATTCTCTACAGCTGAAGCAGCAGCAGAGGGATAACCTCGATGAGAATTTTACAGTTATTGTCTGTTAAAATCAACTGCTCAGCATCATGAGATTTAATCAAATTACACACCTGATATTGTCAGTCAAACCCGGAAAATTGGATCAGAGTTTACTTTTCTGAATAAGGCTGTCGAATTCAGGTATTTTATTAAAAAAGCTCGTAGTAATATTTTAAAATTTCTTTTTGTTCTCACTGCTGCACGAGCTGTTGCAAGACTTTCAATTCTTTACTGGTTCGTGCCTGTGCTGTAGCTGCTGCTCCTCAGTTCAGCCACTCTTGTAAGAGTTGTAACTCAAATGCAAATTTCATTTTGTCCACGTCTCTTTCCCATGGAGGATGCAGAAGTCATAAACTATTGCATACTATTTTTTTCCTCCACCTGCTTCTGCCAGCACAGTCAGTTTTCATGGGGAAGCCCCTGCCATTTGTCACTTCTGATGTCTAAGCTCGTGCTGGGGTGTTCTATGTATAACTGTCAGAAGCTGTAGAGTTTTCTGTTTGTGGTTGTTTAGAGGGGAAATGGTAGTTTCACATGGCCTTTCTTTGTCTTACTTGCTTTGGGGTTTGTATTTCATGCAGAATTTTTTCCAAATGACACGGCGACAATAAAATTGTCGGTTTGCTGATATCCAGAAATGCTTTTATTTTTGCCCTGGACGAGAGCAGTGTTTGGGCCTGTTATGCACAAGCTGTTTCTGGGCCTCATCAGCTCTTCTGCTGGTTGATGCTGGTTCTGCCTGTGCTGTTGAACTGTGGTGGCTGCTGCTGTTCCTCTGTCAGCAGTGACCTCTGTGCTCCTCAAACTCCTTAATGAGCCATGGGCTGCTCGCTGTGGAGTTGTCTGACACTGGGACCATGCCATGGCAGCAGGGAGCTGTGACACTGGGATGGTTCCCATGGCAGCAGGGAGCTGTGACACTGGGATGGTTCCCATGGCAGCAGGGAGCTGTGACACTGGGATGGTTCCCATGGCAGCAGGGAGCTGTGACACTGGGATGGTTCCCAT